TGGGGGGCACGGGGGGCTCCGGAGGCTCCGCTGCCCGGGCCTGGAGCGGGCGAGGGAGGGGGGCCCGGGCAGGAACCGGCTGTTTTTCCTCCCTCTGTGGTTTCCTGACGTCACGGCTGTGCCGGTTTCGAGGCTCAGCTGCCTCACCAGGTCCCGCCAAAAAAAAGGGGGGAGAAATGCCAAGGGGGGGAGCTCAGCCCCCTCCCCAAATCCCGGGATTCCCACATCTCTGGATATATCCAGTGCTGAGGGAATGTCTGGGGTCACGACCCTTCGGGGCTGAGGAGGAGCCGGTGCCCACCCGAAACACTGTGGAACCCCCCAGGAAGGGGACGAGGGAAGGGTTTATCCAGGCACATCCCAGTTTCTGGCATTCCAGGGATGCCCCCTATCCCGGCAAGGGCACGTGGGGCACTGGCAGGGCTGGACCAGGGCGAGGCAGAGGTGTTAATTGATTAGGCCCTAATTAATTTTTCCGAATCCAGGTCATGCATGTTAATGAGGCAACTGTTTTCCATTGATCCCATGGTGTTCCTGCTGGAAGGAGAGTGCCTGGGGAGTGGGAATGGGAGGATGGAAATTCCCTTCCCACTCCAATCCCCCACCCTGGAGCAGGAGCTCAGCTCCCCTGGGACTTCCCTGGGTGCTCCCTGAACTCCCTGCTTGTTCCCATCCCAGTTATTCCAGGGGTCCTGCTGACCCCCCCAGACTGGGATTGTGGCAGAACCAAGCCCTGTCGGGATGTCCCACCTGGAGCTGACCCCCACCCAGTTCAGCTTTGAAAATTCCCCAGAAAAAGGGTGTAATTCCCAGATCTGCTCCCACAGGACTCAGCCAGGGAGGTCTTTGTGCAGGATCCAGGCCCCAAATCCCCCCAAATCCACCTGAAATTGGTGATTCCCCCCACATATCCTGTGATACTTCGCCTCTAGGAAAGATCCACATTATCCAGGGGTGTGTGACCCCTATGGATACGGGATGCCTGGGATCCAGCCCTTCCCTGGGAGCCTTGGCTGGCTCTGGAGGCCCTGGAATCCCAGAGGCAGGATTTGGGATTGGATTGAGCATCTGCCTTGCCGCTGGCAGCGGGAGTCAGCTCAGCATCCTGTGACAGCTCGGGATGCTCGGAATCCCTTCCCGGGGGGATTTTGGGATGTGCTGACACGTTGCCTGCCGTGAGGAGCCTTTTAAAAAGCAGGAGCTGCCTCTGGAGCGAGCAAGGACGGGCTTGGCTGCTGGCAGCACCTGCTGGGATCAGAATGAAAAACGGGAAAGATGGGGGTTTTCCAGGCGGGAACAGCTCGGATAAAGGGTCGGCACCGCTGTGGGGGCGGAGGGGGCACATTCCCTGTGGGGCCACGGGCTGGATTGTCCCGCTCCCAGGGAATCAGTGACCCCCAAGGCTTTGGGACCCCTGGACACCAAACCCCCCTGAGGTCATGGATGCCACCCCACGATCCCGGCGATCCCGACGCCCTCGGTGCCGTCCTGCCCGTCCCCCCCGCTGGCACAGGGGCCGGGGGCACCACGCCCCTGTCACCCCCCCCCCGTGCCCACCCCGCTCTCAACCCCCGCCTGCCCCGCTCCCTTTGTCGGGGTTTTGCTGCTATTTTGGGATTTCCTCCGTTGTCGCGGCTCCTTTGTCGGGGCCTCTCGCCCCGCGAACACCTGAGGGGTGCGGGGGGGCCGCTTTTTCCGCGGGGGGTGCAGATGAACCCCGACCTGCCCCTCGGGGCAACCGGAAAGCCGGGGCTGGAGACGCTCCGGGGGGCTGGGCCGGGCCGTGGGAAGGGGGGTTTGGGGTGCGGGGGAGTCCCCCGGCGTGGGGGTGGCAGCTCTGGGGTGATGGGTGGGTGCTGTGCCCCCCCCAAATCCACCGGGAGCTTCGTGTGCTCGGCTCCGGCATCCCACTGGGATGCGGGTGAAGCTTGGGAGGCTGGAGGAGGTGATCCCTCTTTTGGGACCCCCCGACGCCCCCAGAGAGCGTCATTCTGTGGGTTTTGGGGTGTCTTCCCTCCCAGCATCCCCTGGACAGGATTTATGGGCCCCCCCGGGATGGGGACTGTGTCCCAATGGGATACAGGGAACCTCTGGGAGTGGGGGGGACACTGTGGGCCACCAGACCCTCCCACATCCCCAATTCCTGGGGGGTAATTTCCACTCCCAGAGCTGGGTGGGGCCCCTGCCACCCCCATCCCTGCTCCTGCAGGTTGGGAATGGGATATCTGGACATCCCAGTGGGCAACTGGGAGCGCTCGGTGGCCCAGCCCCGCTGTGGGAATGGTGATGAGTCACTCCTACGGAAGGACAAGGAATACGGTGGGAAAAGCTTTTAATGACAGCACAGGGGAATGGTTGGAGAATTCCAGAGGTGATGCCAGCAGTGGGATGGTGGCCTTGGCCAGGTGTCCCTCTGGAGCAGCGGGAAAGGCTCAGTAGGCAGCTCCCTGGATGTCGTCATAGTCACTGCCCTCGGAGAAGTCGGGATCCTGTCCCAAGGGATCCATCCAACCTGGAGGGACACAGCCCATCAGGATTTGGGAGCAGAGGATCCTGGAGTCCCCATATCCCCCTGCCAGCGTGAGATCCTCACCGGGATGTTGGGAAGGGTCTCCGGTGTGCTCCGTGCCCGGAATGTTCTCGTACCACTCCCCTGAGGAGGTGCTGGAGCTGCCGGTGGGATCGGGATCGGGATCTGCTGGACACGGAGGTACCCAGGGCTGGGAGGGCACTGGGGCGGGAATGCTGGGAGCTGCTGGGGGAACTGGGAGAAACAGGTGCTTACTGGGACCCTCCATCCCTGTTCCCATTCCCGGGGTTCCCCCACTCTCGTTCCCTTCCTGGGGTTGGACCCATCCCTGTTCACATCCCTGTTCCCATCCCTGGAGTCTCTCCATCCCTGGTCCCATTCCTGGGGTACCCACACCCTCATTCCCCTCCCCAGGGTTGTCCTCATCCCTTATTCCCACCTTTGGGATCTCTCCTTTCCTTATTCCCACCCCCGGGGTTCCTCCATCACTGTTCCGTGGGGTTCCTCCATCACTGTTCCCATTCCCAGGGCTCTCCCCATCACTGTTCCCATTCCCAGGGCTCTCCCCATCCCTGCTCCCACACATCCCTCCGGCAGGGCCCACCGTTGCCCCAGCTGTGCTGGGAGGGGACGTTGCCATTCCGGCAGGGATTCGTAGATGATGAGGAGGAGGAGCTGGAGGAGCTGTTCTTCCTTCCAGGGAATGGGGGGCCCATCCTGGCCGGTGCTGCGGGAACAAGAACATCCAGCATAGGAACAGAGAGGAGCCACCCCCTTATCCATGGGATGGACCCCCCTTGTCCCATACCATCCTCAGGGAATGGCTCCATCCCATCCTGGCTGGGCCTCGGTGGAAGCAGCTGCTCCCCGGGATGGCGGCGCAGCGAGTCTGGGAAGGGGAGAGCGGTGGGAGTGACAGGGATCCCAGGAAAAGGGAACGGGAATCCTGGAGCATGGGGATGGGGATCCCAGGCAGGGTGACAGGGGTTCCTAGGGCAAGGTGAGGGGAATTCCAGAGGGAATAGGGTGCTCACTGTAGAAGGTGGAGAGGGCGACGGGCGGCTTCCTGCTGAACTCGTAGTATTCCGAGTCAGAATCGGAGGTGGAATCCTTGGAAAAGGCTGTGCCCAGCGGGTCTGGGGGGTGAGAATGGGATGGGGGATGTGCCATCAGCTGGGATCCCCTTCCCCACATCCCAGGGGGGTGACCTGCCAGACCCACCTGATCCTTTGGGAAGGCTGGTGGGAATCTCCCTGTAGTCATTGGGAATCCCGGAGGGCACATCAGGGCTCTGGGAGCTGTGGGTCACCAGGACTGGAGTGGTTATTCCCAAGGAACACATGGCTGCAAGGACAATGGGGATGAAAAGCTGAGCTGAGCCCAAAAAGTGGGATGTGTGCCCCAATTCCATGCTCAGTCCAGAATTCCTTACCGCTCTTCTTCCTCAGCCTCAGCAGAGCGATGGAAAAGGCCAGTACAGAGAGCAGGAGCAGCATTCCCAGCACCAGGCACAGGATAAAGAGGAGACTATCCCACGGGAATTGTGTCCCTACAACTGGAGACCCTTCCTCGGCTGAGACAGAGAACGGACACAAGTCATTCCCACCTAAATCCTTCCTCCAGGGAATGGGAAGGGAGAGATTGCAGGACACTCACCCCGCGGGACGGTGACATTCCCGTTTGTCCCTGTGGCTGTGGGGGTTGGATCCAGCAAACCCTGGGAGCCTGGAGAGGGGAGTGGGGACAGAAATCAGATCATGGGGATGCCGAGGTGGGGGGCAGGAATTCCCTCCCAGATCCCAGCGGGAAGATCCAGTACCATTGCAGACCACCCCGACCGCCCGGGACTGGTGGCAGGGAGCAGATCTGTTGAAGGTCCAGCGGCAGA